CGGAGCTGACATCTGTGCTGGTAGTGTTCAAACCCATCACGTTCGACAGCGCGCCGGCGCAGCAGAACTTCCAAGTCAACAGGTCAGCCACCTTAACCAGACATGGCGACAATATAGGAGTGGGAGAAACGTCCCTGCCTATTTGCTCTGAATTGTTACTTGATATTTTGGTGCGGCTGAAATTCTTAGCTTTGCTCATCTCTGTGCCGCGGGAGACTCCTAGTTCACTGAGCGAAATCAGATCCACCAACTAGAGTTCTAAGATCTCATGCCTTCATCAAATGTGAAATTTTACGACTGACGAATCATTATGCAAATAAGGTCCTAAATTTGCACTAGTGTTATCAGTTGATCGATTATGCAAATTAACACGATTTGCACAATTTGTCATCAAATTGTCAAGCATCATTTAGTTGTCTTAATACCAAAAATCACGACGATCAGTCGATGCTTTCTTGACCTGTTCAGAAGATTTTAACAACCACCCCTGGAGTCTTAAAACAAGCTGCTAGGGACCAAATGTCTTCTTACCAAACAGAAATCTTCCACCCAAAATGTGACCACAACACGACATATCAAAACTGAATGTTTCCCTGCCGTATCCTAGAAAGCCGCCAGGCGGTCCAAATTCTAAGTGCTTAGTTTTGCAGACACGTACCAACATACAACTACCAAATATCAGATTCATCCACGGCTTCTCAGACACAGTCCCGACGCTCTCTGCGAAGGTAATATTAATAAAGGTAGAGGTTAGTTGTAGCGGTTTTAGCATGTGAAAGAAGTGATGGTGATATGCCATCGCTGTCTAACTTTGCCAGAATAAGTGTCACTGACCAGCCCTCTCCTCCCATGTTTCTTTCAGCGACGCAGTTGTTGAATGTCAGGTATCTGGTGACCCTCAGCCCACCGTGGTGTGGTACCGAGACAACAATGAGGTCGGCAACACCGCCAAGTTTCGCAAAATGGCCAACAACAACTTGGTGATCGGCAAGATTCAGCTACAAGATTCCGGGATTTACACGTAAGCTTTGTGTTGGTTTTGATTTCATGATGTCAACTTTAATTCATAATTATTCAATAATGAAAATTAACTGTCCTAAATGGCCCTCGGACAGTTGTGTTCTTGCCTAAAAGCCTAAGGTTAACACTTCAATGTTTTCTTAAAGCGTTTGATGAGTTCCGTTAGTAGGCAGGAGTATGAATATACGCATATTGACTTTTGTTAATATGCAGTGATGGTCAATGATGGTGAAGTTTGACGTCTGATAGTTGTGGTGGTGTTTTGTAGATGCGAGGCGTCTGTGGCGAGTGACGGGCGGTTTGCTGAACGAGACATCCAGGTGTCTGTACTGTACCCGCCAGCAGTGTTCATGGACACGCCGGACACGGTGGGAGCTGTGGCCGGCTTCACCGTCAACATCAGCTGCAGTGCCCGCGGGAACCCTGCCCCGCAGATGGCCTGGTACCGGGACGGGCGGGAGCTGCTTCCCTCGGCTGACGGCAGCATCAGAATCTACACAGCGGATGGTGTGAGCATCCTTGGACTTAAAGTTAACAGCTCTAAGTGGTATGGAGAATACAACTGTACGGCATACAACGGATTAGGTAGCGTGTCCAGGAACATCATCCTTCGGGAAGCAGCTGTCCCCACCCGCCTACCGACCTGCAAGTCTCACACGTGACTGCCCATGAAGTCACCATCCTGTTCCAGAAGTCGTACAGTGAGATGGAGTCCCCGTCACGCACTACGTCGCAGAAATCAGCAGCTCCAGCGGAGATCTGTCCTCCCGGGTGGGAGATGCTGCGGTGCTGACCATGACTGTGGACGGACTGGCTGAGAACACTTCCTACAGCGTCCGTCTGCGAGGCGTCAACATAGCAGGCGCCAGCGATGCGTCCGCGTCTCTGAAATTTACAACCCTTCCCGAAGACCCGAACCCAGGTGCTCCTGTTGTCTTGAGTCATAAAATGGGTACAGATGCTGCCGCGTACGAACTCAGGGCTTTGGTCCCCACTGATCCTGCAGACCCTGTCACAGACTGCACCGTGTCTTACCGGCAAACCCGCACCAACAAACTTCGGCATCAGTGGAATAATGTCACCTTACCCTGCAGCAGGAACGATAGTATCGCGACCGTTTTAATCACAGGTCTGCAGTCTAACACGGAGTACGAGGGAAGAGTTTACGCCAGGAAAGCTTCAGGAACTGTAGGAATCACTGACTTCATCTTCAGGACGCAGGCTGAGGTGACAGCCGAGCAGGTGGGCGGTGTGTCGGCTGGAGGGACCGCGGCTATTGTCATCGTCGTGCTGCTGATCCTCATCATACTGGTTGATGCCACGTGTTGTGCCCTGGGAAAAGGGGGCGCCACACTCTTCATCTGGAACAGAGTCCGAGGCAATGCAAGAGCATCCCTATAAAGAACGAAGAGGCACCCGTGGAGGAGGTGGAGACCACCCTCTCAGCAGAGGTCCGGCCCAACCAGAGTCCCACCACCGAGGACGGCTCAGGGCAAGATGTCAAGAAAGGGAAAGCAGTGAAATTAGGTCAACTTGCGCATTGGTGGAGCGAGTTGAAGCGCGCTCGGTACCAGGGCGGCGCGGAGCCAACTGATGCCGCTGGAAAGGTGCCTGAGAAATCCTGCCAAGACGCAAATGTTGGAAATGGCGGAGTGATGGAAGTTAGCGACCCTCCTCAGGATCCAGTGGCTCAGAACGAATCTAAGACAGCCGACATTGATGCAGGAAACGCCGAGGAAGAGAAACCGGAGGCGGGGACGACAGCCGGAGACACAGCTGCGACAGGACAGCCTGACGTGGTCGGAGGGGCTGACGTCGCTGAGAGCACCGAGACGACCTTACTTCTGGATGAGACCAAGCAAGAGGACGCCCCAGAGGACCGACCGAACAGCCTAGCAGTCTAGTTTGTACAGCTTTGAGTAATACAATTCAAATGTACCTTAACTAAGGACATTATGTCCTTGCCAATTCAATGTTCTTTTCACCTTTATATGATGTTAGCATAAGTAATACGTGAAGACAATGTAGCCATGTTGACAATGATTTTATGAACATATTGAATTTGACGAGCTAATGAAGGAAAGTTAAGATGTCGAAAACCCCGTGTTAACATCAAGGGTAGAACTACAATTAATGCCTGTTCCGACATTGTGCTTTTCTGTATTCTGTTGTAGTATTTCGGTTAGTGAGTTGTTTGGCTGTTGTCACTGTTATATTGTATTTTATTCTAGTTATACCTACTTGTCTTAGTGCAATGTAAGATACTTTCTCACAATATGCAACCATGGGGATGCTGTACGGTAGGCGTGTGTATAAACTAGCAAACATGTCGTTTATAAAAACTTGTATAACGCCTGTTTGAATCATGTATGTAGACCAAATTCAGCGGAAAGACTAGTGTTAATTCAAGCTAGATAGTGCGTGCAGAATGTATTATCCAATGGCAATGTTATCTGACTGACGGGTTACTAAGAATATTTCAATATAACGAACTTATTTTATGTATTAAAGTTTTTCACTGGAAATTTCCGTTTGATGTTTCATATGTAGATAGACCAAGAAGACATTATTTTAGACAAGATTTCACCACGCCTCACTTAAGATATCATAGATTTCACTCCATACCACACATGGAGGACGGAAACATACTGTTACCGGCATCAACAAGTGTTTCCGAATTTCATACCTCCATGACTTATTTAGAGCTTTTGAAATTTTGTGTTGCGGAAACTAACGTTATAAGTATGAAATTGCCATCTACAACTAGAATATTAAGTAATTGATACTAGTATTCCGTATAATATGTAAATTAAGCCGTACTAAGTTATACAAAAATCAAGGCCATAGCAAATCCAGGACAAAAGATACAAAAACTGAAATTTCTGCTGTAGAACCAAGAAAGCCACTAGGGGGCTCCTAATACATTTTTTCTCGAGACAAATTTTGCACCACTTTCGCATGAATTGTCATCTAAACTCATCACAACTTATGCTAGCTGGGTGCCATCCTCCGTAGTTAACGCCGCTCCCTAAGGCCTAATGTCACAGTGTAACGGTTATGACTATTGTAATTAGGGTAATATGTAAATGACTATATGGAGAGACTTGTTATAGAGAGGTGCATATATTAGCGCGTTAGGTTGGCCCTGATTGGTTGGTGAGAGCAACCAATCAGGTGAACGACTATTGTTAACATAGCTGAGCTTGGAAGTGACAATCGCTCTGTAAGTCAGTTGGTGACCAAGGATTCAGGTACGTGTACATGTCTAGTTGTAGCTCTGTAGATAGATTGTAGTACCTCATCTGTATAACTCTAGACCATTAGTAACTATCCGTGTAACTAATTGCTAAACTCCCTTTAGACTCCCTTTAAGTTTAACCATTAGACCACATCTACCTGTATTAGAGTTAACATACGGATCAATAAACCCGGCTCAGCAGAAGTAATCGAACTGTTTGGATCTCGTTTATAGTAAGATATTATATTAGACGCTAAGATACCAAACTACCACTAGACCTCAAATATTACAACTGGACACCGTGGAGCACCATGGTGCCCAGCGACATTAGGGAGTTGTCGGTAATACGGAGGATGGCACCAAGGCTAGACTTAAGCTATCTAACATACCAAAAATCTCGATGATCCCTCAACCGTTTCTTGAGTTATCCTCCTTGAATGATTGATTGTATACAAACGTCCCTGCAGTTCTAGAACTAGCTACTTGGCGTTGACGCCACCTCTTCACCTCTTAGCACAAGAGTCAACGTTATCTACCTTGCAAATAGCATGGTCAGAGCAAGTCCAGATCAGGAGATATAAAAACTGGCAGTTCTACTGCATTGACATAACAAGCCGCTAGGGGCCCAAAATATCATCACTTAGGGATCTCATCAACAAAGGTCGAGTTTATACTTGTTTGTTATTCACCATCTGAAGATAACTGAAGTACTCATTTTTGTGTTGATTTGAGGTTGTGACAAAACAAGAAATTATTTAGATTTTTGCCCCCCTGGCAGCTATCCAAGGTACTGCAACAGTTTTCATATGTTCTGGATAAGGAACGGTCCTGAGGTTTTGGCAGTAGATTTTGTGTTCGTGAAGAAGCATTTGCATTGGGTCTCCTGGCAGCTTGGGTGCCTTCTGGAAATGCAGGCCAGGGTCGGTCAACTAAATGATGGGCATTTTGTAATTTAGATAAAGGTTAACATCACTATGCATATATCAATTAGTGTGGAGGTCATTTGCATAATTGCTAACAAAAAGTACGCATCACATTTTCATGAGCAATGAAAAGAATGCAACTTTCTAAATGTTCCTTTTTTCATAACATTTGTTGGCTTTCTGATATCATTTTTCTTCCCTGTATCAGATCAGAGAAACTTGGTATACAGGAAAACATTCCTGCTTCGGTTAGAAAGAGTTTAACTTCTACCTGTACCTACACATAATGTGATTCATTTTGAAAGGACAAGGGCATGTTTTTGAACCTAGCGTCTAATCTAAAATTAGAAAATGACAACTTTTCAATCGAATATATACATCTTTCTCGACACATCCCAGAATTCAATGCCATCGACATGAATTTTCAAAAATTTTTACTTAGTGTTAATACAAAAACATCAAGTGATGGCGCTCGCGGAGAATTAGGAACTTTTCCAATAATAATAGATGCTGAGATACAATTCATCAAATTAAACTTGCCTGAAGACACTTTACTTTGTGAAGTATATGATGTTTTATACTCAGGCAACCACGATTGGATCAACATGTAAATGACATTCTGAATTACAATGGTTTTGGACAATTCTGGACAAACCCCGGGTCATACCAAGTGGATACGATAACCAATCAATTACGATCCCGCCTTCAAGATATCTATATATATATACAAAAATGGTATAATTCTATTAGTAACAACGTAAAACTTTCTCTTTATACCGCATGAAAGGAAAACTATGGACAAAAACAATACCTCTCATGCAAGTATACACAATCTAGATACCCGAAAAGTGATCACAAAATTAAGAATTACTTGTCATAAATTAAACATAGAAATTGGGTCGATACAAAAAATACCAAATGACCAAAGGTTCTGTCCATTTTGTCCAAACATGTTGAAAATGAGCACCATTTTATAATGGACTGTACACTATACAATGATAAGCGCTTATTGCTGTTCACCTTTCTTTCCACTTGTTCAATTGATTTCAATACGTTAGATCCTATTGATAAATTCAACTACATTCTCAGGGGAGATAACCAATACAGTGTTCAAATAGGAAAATACATTAAAGAATGCTTCGATCTTAGAGAACACATGTTGAAGAATAGTTAAACCTTTATTGTTACATACATATACTCGTACGTGTACGTAGGATGACGTTAACCACACATGTATTCACTAATAGCTGTCTTAGATCTTTAGTTGTAGAAGACCATACAAAAGTCCCTTTACATTTTTTGTTGTGTCAATAAAGAATCTCTGTAATACTAAACTTCTTAAGGTTTCCCATACCAATTCATATGTTTTGGAGCGAAATTCGGACACATTTGTATGAAAAACTTCAAAAAGGCATCCCTAAGCTTGTTACCAAATAAGCAGCCCTTATAAAATGCTCAGCTGTAACCGCCCAGCATGTGGATAGTACAAAGAAATACAAACTGAAACCAGATTGTGGGGCCAGAATTACATTTAATGTCATGGATCACAGACACTATGCATCAGTATTATTGCACATATTGATTTCATGTGGAATGACATATTTTGGGTTATATTTGGGTACAAATACCCAGTGTACATTGAGCCTCCCCTTACACAGTATCACATCTTCAAATGCACTACCACAAGAACTGCATCAAGTTCATCACTTCCATCCAGTCACCTTTAAAGTTACTAACTCGTCAGGAAGACAGCTGAACTGGGTATGTGCAAGAAAAAGCTATCACAAGTATCAATTCACCTAGTACAGATCCCTGAGCCATTCATCTGTAGGGAAACTATCATTTTGCCTTGAAGTTTAGCCGATCAGATGTCAGCTGAATTAAGTAGTTGTAGTTTTGAACAGGAAACATGTAACACTGACATCATCTTGCAAAAGGTGCATTCACCAATTTCACACTTCCCATAATGCCTAGTAACGGTCACGGATATGACGTAAGACCACCCCCCTCCTTCCTCAATGTAATATTTCCAACGAGTTCTATCGACGAACTGGTCAACTATTGAGTGTTTTGAATTATTTCTCCAGTATAAAGCGCATGCCATAATTGCATTTTTGTTGGAATTAGAGAAAATTACGTACCTTCTATCATTCTAATATACGTAATGCAACCGTGCGAGTAGGAGAGTCTTCGGTAGAAGGTAGAACGATAGAAGGTACGACATTTTCTCTAATTCCAACAAAAATGCAATTATGGCATGCGCTTTATACTTCTAGAGAAATAATTCAAAACAATAGTTGACCAGTTTGTCGATAGAACTTGTTGGAAATATTACATTGAGGAAGGGGGAGAAGGTGGTCTTACATCATATCCGTGACCGTTACTAGGCATTATGGGAAGTGTGAAATTGGTGAATGACGTACATGTACATGTAAGTGCTAGTTACTCCACACATCAACACTAGACTTAAGAGTGCTACCATCACCTCTCTAGATGGAAAGCTACTACTACATGTATGTCAAGTAACAATAATAGAAATGTCCATATTCATGTAGTGCCTTCGATATTCCATCTGATGGGCCAATGTTTACACATCTGAAAATTTTCAAAGCCCCATGCAATTAATTGTAGACATTAGCTATAATGTATGAAGCTGAAGTCCAAGGCACCGGTAAGATTATGAGCTGGCACCATTATTTTGTTCGTACATGAGTTCAATAATTGCTAACATTAATAAATGTGTTTCCTGATTAATATATAACCTGACACAGATTTAGCACACAAATTACCCCATATGGACAATCATAACTAAGAAAGTAAGACATGTCCATTCTCCTTACAGTGTATGGCTGAAGTTCATGAAATAGTCATGTAGATTATAAGCTATTAAAACAATGTCTCATTAAGTCAAATACCCCAGTCTTGTACTTCAGATATTTCATGGATACATTATCGAAATATCAACTGATTTCCAGGTTTTTACAATCACTTTTACACTCAATTACACTGTAAAAAACCAATAGCCAGCATATACATTAATTTTGTACTAAACAATTTAGTATCCCCACAGATTATTATTTGCCTTCGAGTAAAAACCTTGCAATATCACATGACTTTAACATCACACGTAATCATTTGGCTAATCAACACATTATGTAGGCACTATGTAACACTAGATATTTGTGTTTCAGAGAAGTAGAAATAGTTAGAAATCATACTGAATAGTTGTCATATTACACTTGTGTGAAGGTGAATAAAAAACCCATGACCATGGCACAAACACGTATCTAGCATGCTTGTGGCTTCATTATGTGTATTTCTCACTCATAGATTTTCCCTCATACTTTCCATTGATGTTACATTACTGCATGAAATATTGCCCCTTTGATTAATATCACTCCTCCAAGTTCTCCATGTTAATAAGGCCGTGTTTATGTGAAGTCACCCAAACCACGATTCCGGTAACTCACATTCCTCACATCTGGTCCACGTGCCATACATTTCTTTGAAACCGTGTCCGATCACAATTCGATTGAGCTACATTTATTGTTGTTGGTATTGCATATAAATAAAGAAATATCACCCCATAATCCATGACCAGGCGAAGTTACATTGAAATCACATTGCGTTCAGACGCAAATCGCGATGCGGGAAAACCGATTCGAAACCACCTCTAGAAGTGGTTTGGGATGTGCTTTCAATGTGATTTTGGAGCGTTCAGATGGAGCCACTTGAAACCGGCTTCGGGGTAAACCACATGTAAAGCGCCTTGGGTGACTTCACATAAACACGGCCTAACACACTAGGACTGCTGACTGTACATGAGTGAGAACTGCAGTGCTACATGTAGCTGGGTGTTTTCTTAGAAACTTAAAAAAAACAAATACCAGCCACATTTGGGGCATACGTCTTACCTAAATCTAACATTGGCTTTGGGTAGTATGCCAGCAAATTACTATACACGCATATCTACTAGTCTTAATTTTAAAATTTCTACTTCTACTTCTTACTTCCCTTAAGAAGAAAGGAAGATAAACATCAAGCAAAATCACCTGTTGGAACTGACATATACATGTTCTGTCATCTTTGTAACTTTGAAGTTGAATCTCAGAAGCCAAAATTTCCAAAGGCAAGAAAACTAAATGAGCAGCAGAAGATATAAGAAAATCTTTTTACCCCCTTTTTTTTACCCCCATTCATACCAGACTTCACAAAACCGGAAGAATTCATACGGGGGAATAAACCCTTCATAAAGTTGAGTTTATATAGTAATTAGGCTGGTGTGAATGAAAATTAACCGGTTGATTAAAGGTTTCAACTGGTTTATCAAAAACCACTTCATGAGGAGGTGGGGTAAGGGTTCGGTAGCGGTTTGCTCTGTCTACAAAGTGGTGTGAACACTATATGGGTTAATTTTGGACGTCAGACTCACAGGTTCCAAGTCACTATCTCAGCCATGGCAAAAATCAGGCCCTCATCAGGTTGGGGGGGGGGGGGGGGGCAGGACAACACAGCAATGTTGTTGTAAGTTAAGGAACTGTACATAGCAGACAAGAAGGCTGGGGGGGGGGGGAACAGGGTGGCATGCCTTCCTGTACGTGGAGTTGGACGACCAACCAACTTTGCAGACAGGATTTCACTGAAGAGGTTACTACATGTAGTACAGTATGTAAAGCCAGATATGAACTCAAGAGGCTTTACCCAGATTATACCGACTTATGAATTCAACCAGTTAAGTGAAGTCTGGTGTTGAATAGGGTCTTTGTTATATCCTCTTGAATACTGCAGTTAAGAATATATTTTTTTGCTGGTAAATATGAATTTAACCTGGAAATCAACTCTGGTGAAAATAAAAACACTGTAGTGTCAAGAGTTCATATTTATCCCTCTACACTGTGACAAATTAATCAAATAACTTTCCTCCATCACACAAAGCAACAGTTCATTGTACAGCTTTGAAAATATCAGTGTGTGCCACATTATGCATGAATATGTTTCATTGTGTGAATGAATTGAAAAATTTCTACTGTAACTTAATCAAATATAGGACAAAATCATTCCTTTAGACCACACCAATTTGATTTCTTGGTTAACGGATTTTTAAAGAAAAATAATGGAGCAGGCGGGGGAAAAAAATAAATAAAAGCAGGCCTTGGCATCCTATTATAGCCCAAAATGGTACGATAGGAGCCATGAAGTCAACACACCAGGCTGGTTCAAAATTTAAACAATGAATTTTGAACTTTTAATGATACCACTGCATTGAAAGATGGAATAACTGTAACAAGTAGGAAGAAAAGGTTTCCAACTGTTCAGGGCAAAATATGAGCATTTTGCACTTGATTCTGAATTTTTTACTAAATTTGCAAATCAGAAAAAATGAAGCGGGCGAATCTGTTAACCTAGAAATTAAATTGGTGTGGCCTTATTTGAAGAAGAAGTCAACAACTCGCTGCCTTCAGAAGAACCCTGGACTATGGTGATGACGAGTTCTCACTCTGTCTGAAAGGATTGGAGAAGGACCGCTTCCTCAACATACTCTTCACTAAAATCTGAAACAGAAAAATGGAACTGTTAACATCTACAGCAAATTTGGGTGACTCTAGACCCAAGACAATTTGCTCTTTAAAGCTTCCTTTCTTGTTGCTCAATAAAAAACCAACCAGAGGAATATTGACAAATTCAAGTTATGCAAATGAAGGCCTTTTTCATTGGCATAATCAATGAGAAAATGTGGTATTTCTAATAATGAGGTCTTTTAGAAAATCTGCTTCTGGAGTTGAGTTCCACTTTTTGATGTTTTGGTTCTCTTGTTGTCTTGGTACTGGATACATTATTTATATGGGTCCTTGACTTTCTTTTTTTCGAGTCGTAGGTTATGTGCTGAGGTAAGGCACAAAATCATCATCAGTATAATGTAACCATTGGCATCACCAAAAAATCAGACTATGCTTTTCAAAACAGCCGCCATTTGGGCCGCTTGACTCTCCTTGGTCACGTTGCTTTTGCTGCTATCATAAAAATGGATGATGGACGGCAATTTCACCTCGAGCTGGCCGAGTTGTCTTCAGATGTAGAAGCAGTGTTTGGCCAACTAACCCGGCCGATGGGTCTAGACCTTTTAGCGGAGTGGTTAGAGTGTCTGACTGGGGCCCGGGAGGTTGTGGGTTCGAACCCCGGCCCGGGACCAGTGGGTTTTTACTGTTCTTATATCTGCTTCTTACAGTGGTTCCCACACTGGCCCTGGGAGTTCTGGCAAAGAGTGCCGCTCCAGGGATGTCGAATTCGGAAGATTCAAGGACGAATCTTGAAAAGAAAAGGGGGAGTAGTGTAACAGTGGGGCGTTTATAGGCGCTACCAACTGACCCGGCCGATGGGTCTAGACCTTTTAGCGGAGTGGTTAGAGCGTCTGGTTATGAAGCTCTGGTGCCCCGGAGGTCGTGGGTTCGAACCCCGGCCCGGGACCAGAAGGGGTTTTTTACTGTCTACTCCTGTTTCTTACAGCAGAGATGGATTTGCTGTAAAATCATTTTGCACCTGTAACTTTCAGCTTTAAATAATTGGTTTAAATAATTGGTTTGTTGTAATGGGGATTCACTTCAATATAGATTATAAGATTTACATGTTACACAGGAGTTGTTTCCCGTATGTTCCAGCTTGATATACATGCACATGTGATATTTACAGTCTATATGATAATAACGTTAATGACCTGCTTTCCTTTGGTGTATACAGTGTCATAATTCATGGTCAGCTCCTATAACCACCGAATAAACAACCTCGTCCACTTCCGTTATGGGAAGTGACCATGAATTATGACACCGTATACACCTCAGGACGGGTCATTAACCCTATTATTATTTCATGAAGAACATGTAAAACAATGCACTGACTAACAGTAAAGTTCTCAAACTGGACATGAACCCTACAGCCAGCACGTACCAATGTGTTGAGTTGCGACACTTGTTTCACACAGTTGGTCACCTCATCATCAGTGACTTCAACCAGGGTGCAGTTATCAGCCTCGGTGGGTAGGGTGACGGAACCTTTCTCAGTCACCCACTCGTTAACCTGCAACATTACATTACATCGAGGATGAGGAACACTTTGTATTAGAATGTAGTTTATACAACGAAGAGAGAGCTGAGCTTTATAAACTATTGCAATGTATGTTTCCCCATTTCATACATCTTAGCAAACACAGATAAGTTCATATTTCTAATGGCTTTAGACAAACCTTTCAAATTATGAAACACATCTGTACTTATATCTACATCATTACTAAGAAGCGAGAAGAAGCCAAATTATCGTAATTATTACTATATGTCCATAGTACATAGAATTAGCACTAGCTTGTACATTGTATATACATGTATTCATTGCAAACTGTGGCGTCTTTCCTGTGACCTGTACTGAACCCAGTGGGTATTTGCGTACAATAAAGGTCTTCATTCATTCATTCATTCATTACAAAAGCCATAGAATAAAATGCATTTTCCAGCAAAATCATGGTAAATGAAAATGAAGTAAGAATTGAAGAATACGTGTTCAAGAATACAGCTCAATAACTATGAATAAATAGTCTACACAAAAATCTAAATTGGCCAATATAAATTACCATCATCATCATCATCATCGGTCGACCGTATTGGTCGGGGTTATACCGCCCCTTACGAGGTGGCATACCCTTTCGTTAGCTTAATACAAGACGGGGTTCGCCACGCCTCCGTCCGGGTGATGATGTAATCACCATGTGTGGTGATGTAATCACCATGTGGCTGATACGGAACAGAGGTTCGCCAGGCCTCCATTCGGGTGATTTGAAGTGAATCACCAACTCCATACAGTAGTGTTTGTACCATCGCACACCGGGGCATGCCCCTACTCTTTTTCGAAAGGTGTGGTGGGATCTGTAACGTGCGTGGGGTGTGGCTCTCCCCAAACACGGGACCTCCATTTAACGTCCTATCCGAGGGACGTCCCTAGCCAAAGCTAGGTACTCATTTCCACCTGAGTGAAGTGAGGAAAGTCGTGTAAAGTGCCTTTCCCAAGGGCACAAGATCGGTGACAAGGTGGGGTTCGAACCCACCCACCACGCGAAATTACCATATTATGGTAATGTAAGAATTTCAAAGAAGTAACAAGCAGTCATAGGCAATAATCCTCCACGAAGTTTTACATTTTGCAAATTGGGAACAATATCCCCCTGACCATGCCCTGCGCCACTTGCACGCTGCCTGCTACGTCCCTGTAAGTGTTCCAGGTCTGCACGCTACACGCGGGGCTATCACCCAACAGCCGGGCGAAAACAATTCAACAACGTTATAGGGATGTTTCTAAAATATGCATTTACTTCAATATCAATAAACAAAATGGTTCAAATAAAAAATTGTGCATCATCACGGACATAATGGCACACTACATGCCCAATTACACAGAAATACTACACTGCATGTACAGAACAATGCGTTTTTGCTGCGAACATGTTTCAAAAATGGCCCCCATACCCTAACCATGGGGATAAACTGATTCTACTTAACAACCCATCCTCACATCTGCATGAAGGAACTTCCCCCAAAGGCGGGGGGGGGCATTTTTCCCAGGCAGATGTTAGGGTGGGTCGTTGATTAATTAGAAACAACTGTGTGTGGCCCGTTCTTGAAGATTTTAAATGCGTTCGCAGCTAAAAGATATGGTTGTGTCCATTGTATTTCTCTGTAATTAGGCATGTGGTGTGCCATTATGCTCATGATAATGCATTTTTTTTTCTTTTTACCATATAGCAGTTTTCATATTGCAGTTAATGCATATTTCAGACACACCCCTATTTTCATAATCCGTGGAATAGGCCGTAGCTTAAGTAGCTGTGTGGTAAGCGAGGTTCTGAAAGTAGATATTAGGTGGTTGTTGTGTATAATTGTTTGCAAAGTATCTCTTGGGATTGTGACTTTGCACCTACTAGGATACTTTGTCAAATAAATAATATGTGGCAAATGAAACTTTAAAAGATTAAATGTTATCAAAGATGACTTTGTTCATCTGTTTAGATTGTCAATATACATTACTTCACATGTCACCTTTTGTGCTACTCCTCCAAACCAGGAGAGCCACTGAACATTAGCCTCTACCAGGCACCGCGGATCGCTGGAAAAATAGAAGAAATTGGCCGAAATAAAGGGATAGTATACCAAAGATCCAGGGCCATAGAAGCTCCAATTTGCGACCCATGGAGCCTGTGCGGAGTCGCAAGCTTCTAACGATATCAAATTAATCCCCCTATTATTCGTACAAAGAAACTTGATCAGCGCTGAAGATCATTTAAGTCATAAACCCGCCAGCGCCCAGCAGGAACGCTGTGTCTGGGACAAAGGTCAAATAGAGAGTGACAGCAAAACGCGACAAAAATTATATTTTTTCATATAATGTTCCTATTATCTGTGGGTTTTTTTTCTGACATAAGACCGAGGCTTTTCTTGCTGTTGATAAAATGTCCTGAAGATGGGTTATTTTTGCGATACAAATGCCATGCGGTTCCACGTTACGCTATAGTTTCGTTACGATGTGGTTACTCCGGCGCGAAAAAACAGAAACAAAGAAGAATCGACATTTTCTCTTTTTCTGCGGCTGATTTTGTGTCAAAACATTGACTATTCGAGGCAAGGGCGACTAGTGCTGTCAGTGGACTGATGATGACAACGAATGGTTCGGGGGAGTTGATGCACGACGGTATGGCCTGAAAGCAGAATGTTTTGCCGGCCCCCGTCGGCAGTCCAACGAAGACGTCGTGCCCATCCAAAATCCCCAACACGGCGTCATCCTGACCCTGCCGCAAAGTTCCATAACCAAAAACGTCCTTCGCCACACGGCGAACTCGTTCCCGGACTGCCATCGGCAGCAGACAGAAATCCGCACAGAAAACTTTGACTTAGGACAGATGACTGTTTATATAACTGTTTATCTTACAAGTAAAACAAAAAGCTGCCACGAAAAGTACGGCTGTGGACAAAGAATAACACTGTGACAGAAAACTACGATAGAGGATTGTTATAACTTCCAAAATACGGAAAGCGCCACAGAACGTCAGGAAAGTTCGCCAGTACAAGTCAGAGGGCAAAAAATGCGTCAGGAAAAAGACGAGACAAGACCGTTATAACTTCAAAACTTTGTGACCTCTGACACTTCCTGTCACATGGCCGCTCGTGTCGGGTCCGTCACGGACGAGTCGGAGAGCAATAAAAGGGGTACTTAACCACTTCCCACCTATTAGATACAACTTTGCACCTATTATATAGCGATTAGTGAACTTCAAAGAAGCTTGCGACTCCGCACAGGCTCCGTGGGTCGCAAATTGGAGCTTCTATGGCCCTGGATCTTCTCTGGTATACTATCTGTCACGGTGGCGTAGAGAAAACACGGAGGCAGAGCTCGAGATAACGTGTCCTGTTGTTTCTTTAATCTTTTCAAGTCTCCTCTCCCCGTAACGTTACCTTTCTAGAACTCCTTCCTTCGAACAGGTGTCGTTGCTACCTGTTTGAACACCCGTGGTGATCACGTGCGCACGGTGTGCTCGAACAGCCAGCGAACCCCCGCTCGAAGGAAGGGTCTAACTATAGCTACTACAATGTAAGTGCTTAATGTATAACTGTCACTTCGTGACATCTCCCCCAGCTTTTTTTTTACATAACGTCCCCGTTATCTAGTTATAGACTACTTAGTATGTACATACATTTCTATGCCATGTAACAATGTCTCTTTAAAGTGCCTGTAAATAAAGTCTCTGCTTCTCCCGGCCCAGTTGCCATGTCCGTCCTCCCCCACCCTCTCGGTGGTTGGCTCGCGCACTCCCGCAGGACCGCACGGAACAGGAACTCATCCATCTGGAAGGCGCTTGCTGGGTTGGTTCCCTGGCAGAGGCACCCCGGCGAGATGCTCTCACGACCGCATCGTTACATGTACGTTGTGCGCGTCGGACCATCTGAAGGAACCTGCTCCAGCGGGACACACCTCTGGGGGTGGTGGGTTAGGGCAGCACATACAACCATTGACAACCGCAATTCTCTATCTCTCAATTCTCTATCTCTCTGTCTCTCTCTCAGCCTCCTCCAAGCACTAGCCTGACGTAAAACAAATATCAACTCCAGAACTTTCAGCAAGAAACTTCAATTTAGTTGAACAATAACTTATCTACGTTAATCATCCTCTTATTTACGTTAATCTAATACGCCTGAATCTGACCCAAGGAAAGCTTCAGCTCCTCCCCCACAGGCTTGAGTCTGAGTCCAGTCCCATCTTCACTGTCCGAATACTCCTCATATTTTGACGACTCTTCCTCAGATTCTTCTTCTTCCTCTTCTTTTGCCTCTTCTACAATTTCCATCACCTCCTCCTCGGCCTGTGACCTTTCCCGCGCCCGCAGCCTCATCAGCATACGGCGGCACTCGATCTCCTCCTCGTCTAAATCCTCCTTCCCGCTGCTCTCCTCTTCCCGCGCCAGACGCTCCGGTTCATCGTCTTCCTCTGCCTCTTCCTGAACCTCTGGTTCCAGAACTCTCTGGTGTCGGGCAACCCTGTTCAACTCTTCATCGCTGCTCTCGTCTTCCGCGGTGCGTGCTTTGAGCAGACGTCGGAGACGGGGGTCGTCGACCTCAGCGGACGGTTGCATGACGACCTCGGGTTGGCGCTTCAGGCGGAAGTCATCATCTTCCTCTTCTTCATCGCTGGACTGTGGAGCGTAGTTAGGTCTATATCTTGGACTACCCCAGCCGTACTACCAAATGTCACGGTGGCGTAGAGAAAACACGGAGACAGAGCTCGAGATAACGTGTCCTGTTGTTTCTTTAATCTTTTCAAGTCTCCTCTCCCCGTAACGTTACCTTTCTAGAACCCCTTCCTTCGAACAGGTGTCGTTGCTACCTGTTCGAACACCCGTGGTGATCACGTGCGCACGGTGTGCTCGAACAGGCAGCGAACCCCCGCTCGAAGGAAGGGTCTAACTATAGCTACTACAATGTAAGTGCTTAATGTATAACTGTCACTTCGTGACATATCCCTTTATTTCGGCCAATTTCTACTATTTTTCCAGCGATCCGCGGTGCCTGGTAGAGGCTAACTGAACATGCCAAAGGTCCAGAAATGCCACTGACCTTGATATCAGGGATGGTGACGCGGGAAATTGGATCCTTGTCCAACATCTTCTTCAGCAGCTCCTTCAGAGGCAAACTCACATCATACCTGTACAGACATTAGCAATATTGTCATGACTTGTTCCACACTTTGTTGCTGTATTTTTTACCACAAAAGTCATGCTTGCTGGCAGGAGTACAGAGAGATAAAAATGACCTGACCTGTTTGGAAAGGTGAGGTCCTGAGTCCTGATCTTGGTGTGGAGTGCAAGGATGGAGCTGTCTTCAAAAGGACACTGTAGGGTGTACATACATGTATGAGATGTGTCAACAGAACACATTTCACAACTTGGCACATACATGTTCATTGTACATGCACAATGTCATGTAACGTTACATGTGGTCTCCACCAGACATCTCTGCAGGCCTCAATCAATAGTCGAAATAGGCCTATAAAAGCATATAACTGGCCAGAAGAGTTAGCTGGCTACCAAAGGAAAGCGGCTAACGGCCCAGTACATGTACTAGTCTGGCTCCCAGGGTAGTTTAGATCATGAGATATCAAAACTCAGAAGTTCCCCTGAAGTACCATAACAAGCTGCCAGGGGGCCTAAAATCTAACCAGTTCAAGGCAGCTGACTTGTTTTTACCAAGGAGGCTATAAGTATAACCTTGGTTTTGACAGCATGGTAAATTTTTCAGGTCTTTCACAATATTTTTATATCTGTAATTCAATCTTGAGTGGTCTTTAACCCTCGTACATGTTATTGTACATATCATCAGGGTCTACACCCACCCCAGCAATATACATGTAGATCTGTAAATAGCATAATACATGATTGTACATTATATTTTTTGTGCAAGTATTATAATAAAATAAAAGCTATTTGCTTTCTATTGGACCTAATAGTATCATTGTATGTCAAGACATGCAATTTAAATGATTTTATGGCAGTAATGTTGTGGGTGTGTTTACAATGTAGATATGTTTGCTTGTGCATTTATTGGTATTTGAAGTAGAGTGGCTGGAGGAATTTGTAACCACAGATTGACAACAAGGTCAAGTTTGCAATCTATCAGTGACTGAGAGGCAGCGAGTCCCACACATGTACAGTTACTAGTACCAGTAGTACTAATGTACGGTATACCTGCTACATGGTACAGATGTTACTGCAAGGTTACACACAAAACTCCCAGAGGTACATTTGTAGTAAAATGATGTGTACATGTAAGTCCAGAAGTGTTTTTGACTGATCCATTTTAGATGGGGTGGCACTGGAAGAGTCCATTCTTACACAGGAGATTTCAGATTTAATTTCAGACTGTAGTGATCATTTTTTGAGCGGAAGTGTTTCTGGACTGGTCCATTTCACATGTGGCTGCCCATGGAAGGGTGCATTTTAGCAAAGGGGGAACAATTTCCCAAAGATAATTTTGGACTGATGTGATTATGAAAACGTTGTGTCCTCCTCTCATTCACCATGATCTACATGCAAGTCTTTCTTTATAGTACATTTGTACATGGGACACAACACCAGCTGTCAAGGGGGTCATGTAACGAAAAACGTTTTTATGAAAACAGCGAGAACTACCTGATACAGGCGTGATTAACGACTTTCTCTGGGACAGACTGAACCCAATCATATCCACTATAACCTGACCTAGGGCCATGCAGACACAGGCACACACACACACACACACACACACACACACACACACACACACACACACACACACACACACACACACACACACACACACACACACACATACACACAAAAAACAATACCTCTATATTTCATGGAGGTAACTAATGTACAAAATCTCATGTTCAATATGTAAGACATTGTGTACTTACATGGCCATAAACAAAACAGTACAGAGTGATCCCTAAGGCCCAGACATCCAGACCCTAGAACGAAAACAGATTCCTTTCATGATTCACTCTTAGTATAACTATTAACTGTTACTTGTCTTCCTTTCCTTCATAATGAATGGAAAGAAGCTGTGGGTCTAAGAATATCATCATTACTGTACTAACTCCCTGCTTTTATTATTTTGTATTGCTGAAAGTATAGTTTTCTTCAAATGAAACTCTCTTTAAGTCTTCTTTGATATCTGTCAAATATAGTTAAAAAAGCAATTTTGTAAATTTAAAGAGAAAACAATCTGTTTTGTTTCACCCTTCAATGTGTTAATGCTAAATTTATTACATTAAGTAAATTTGCAAACCTTGATAACAAATCTCAGGGCTCCAGAATAACTTTTGAGTTACATGTTGTAAACCTCTGTCACAAATATCAGAACAAACACCTACAATTATATATTGCAAATTATAGGTCAATTCAGCTATCACAGGATGTCCTGGCCTGTGATGTTTGAATGTTTTCCAGAATTGTGAGATTATTTTTAACATTACAGGAATGTATTAATTTTTCTTGTCCACCTACCTTTCCACTGTACTTGTCAGTAGACTCTGGAATGTGAAAAAAAACAGTCACTGAACTGAAGCGTCCATGTAGAAATACATACAGTACCTTAGAATACCATTTTACTTTGCATCGTGCACATGTTCATGTCAAGGTGACATTATGTAAAAAACAGATTTCATAACCAATAAAGATATTATGATCCTTAGCCTGGACTCTATTGTATGAAAAAAAAAAACAAGAAACAAGACTGGCAATGAGAAAATACATTGCCAAGGCAACGGAGGTTGCTGTTAGGGTTATTCTTTGCATGCATATGGCACTGCCATCATTCTATGACTTTGAGGAAGATTTGGCACCTGTTAAGTCTAGACAGATACAGTGCACTCCTCCCCTGAGAGTATAGTGAACGAGCCCCGGGGTCACAGAGAGAAGGGCCATCCGGGGAAGAGAGGTCTTCCCAAGTGTTTCGAGGAATGTGGGCATAAATGTGGGTCAGACACATGCCTATGGACATTCCCTGCCTGTGGACAAAATGCCTCTCCTCCCCTGAGTGTCTTCCTAAGGGTTTCCAGGAATGTGGGCATAGATGTGGGTCATAGACATGCCTTTGGACATTCCATTCCTGTGGACAAAATGCCTGTACCATTCCTAGAATTCTTGCAAACTGCACACAATACTGTACCATTAGGCTCCTCCCTGAGACATCGCCAAAAAATCAATATAGTTACATTGTCTAGTGTCTACTATCATTAGGTTTGCATCCAGCCACATAACAGCATACATGTACATGTAACTCCTCAAGCCCTAATCAAGAAGCACCATGCTTCATGTATTTTATGTGATTTGACACCATGTACCAGTATTTCATATTTTTTTCTAAATGTATGAAACTTAGGCTTTAAGTATCTTTAGGCCACACCAATTTAATTTGTTGGTTCTCGGATTTTTTCAGATAAAATATGAAGCGACAGGGCGAAAAAAATAAAAATAAAAACAAAAACAGGTCTAGGCATCCTATTATAGCCCCAAATGCTACAATATGAGCCATGAAGTCAACAAAAAAGGCTGGGTTAAAATTTAAAGTATAAATTTTGAACTTTTAATCAAACCACTGCATTGATAGATGGAAAAAAACTGTAACAACTAGGAAGAAAAGGAATTTCCTCAACTGTTGGGGGCAAAATATGAGCATTTTTGAGTTGATTCAGAACCAGAATCTTTTTTTTTTT